TAGTTTTAGTTACACTCAGCAGTCCCTCCTTATCTTCAGGGAATACATTCTAAGATGTTAGGCAGACTTCTTGAAACCATGGATAGTACCAAACCCTATATGTATATGATATTCTTTCATAAAATTTAATTTATAAATTAGGCATGGATAGAGATTAAAATATTGACTACTAATAATAGAACAGTTGTAACAATATACTATAGTAAAAGTTATTTAAAACTTATGAATCCTTTGTACAATTCTCCATTTAATGTGGAAATATGAATGTGACTCCGAGGTTAAGCACCCCTTGGTTTAATTTCTAGGACCAAAAAGAAAAAAGGCTCAGTGTTAGTTTTACATTATTATATAGTCGTTATGGAATTCCCCTCATCCTCCTTTCTTATTTCCTTGTGCTGGACCTGTTCTGGAGGACTACTTAGTTCTCATTAAGGTTAGTAACCTAGCAGTCATAAACACTTCCATGCAGATTTGTCTTTCAAATGAAGACTAAATATTAGTATTGTAGTCCTGTTTTATGTTCCTATCAGAAATTATTGAATGTAGTGCCTTGCTATCAAATGTAAAATTTGTGAAAGGCAAGTAGTTTTCTTAATAATGATGGGAATTACAGAGTATATGTTAGGTACTTTATATATATATTATCGATAACATTTAGCAAACTCTGACATAGGTCATGTACAGTTTTACAGAGAAGAAAACTGAGGCTTAGAAGGATAAATATGGTGGTGAGTGACTGTTATCACAGTCCTTAGGAGGCCGAGGCAAGAGAATCACAAGTTAAAGGCTAGCAAGATCCCATCTCAAGAGAGAGAACCCAAAGCAAGTTCAGGTTGGTCTAACTAAAGCATGGTGTGAGGCTGCTGCTCAGTCACTAGTGTAAATCAGGGAATGTGTCTTAGGGTGGAACATAAATACAGTGGGGGCACTTTTGGCAGTGAAGGAGGCAGAAGCCCACAGGACAATGAGTGTTTCTGTTCTCAGGAGGCTGTCAGTGAGAGCCTCAGCCCAGCTGCAAGGCCTTGGCAGCCTCTGTCCTTTTCCTTTTCCCTAAGCCTGGTTTTCTACAATCGTGTGATTTCTCCAGACACTTCTCAGGGCATTGCTCATCACTTAGAACTTTGTACTCCTGTCCCCCACCTTGTATCCACCTCAGCTCCCACCTGCCAAGACACACCACAGTATTGTGAGGATAAAATCATTGATACATGTGAAGAGTTCAGTGTAGCACATGGTACACTGTACCACGTAAGTACACAGTAAATTTAGCTACCGTTACTGTTATTGTTAATGGTATTAATAGTGGTGTTGGTGTTAGCAATGGTCATTGATTCAAAGGTTTAGGACTCCCTACACAAGGACCTGGGTATTTCCTGTCCAGAATCTGGTTTTGTGCAGTTCATAGTACCCACACCCAGGCACGGACATGCTCAATTGGGTGCAAAGGATAGTTGGAAGGAGAATTAGTAAGAGAATGCTTTTTTCTACCCAAAGGTTGCCAGAAACATTTCTCTCTATGCCCTTACTGCCTCCTGTCATTAGCATGGAAACTGTCCATGAATCCCACTTCTAAACCACATTCCTTTTCTGGCTTCTTTGCATTCTTTTTTTTTTTTTTAGAGTTGTTAGGATTTATGTTTTTTTTTTTTTAATTTATATATGACAGTGGAATGCATTACAATTCTTACTACACATATAGAGCACAATTTTTCATATCTCTGGTTGTATACACAGTATATTCACACCAATTCATTTCTTCATACATGTACTTTGGATAATAATGTTCATCACATTCCACCATTATTAATAACCCCATGCCCCTCCATTCCCCTCCAATCCCTCAATCCCTCTGCCCTATCTAGAGTTCGTCTATTCCTTCCATGCTTCCCCTTCCTACCCCCCTATGATTCAGCCTCCTTATATCAAAGAAAATATTCAGCATTTGTTTTTTTTGGGATTGGCTAACTTCACTTAGCATTATCTTTTCTAACTTCATCCATTTACCTGCAAATGCCATGATTTTATTGCTAAGTAATATTGCATTGTGTATATATGCAACATTTTTAATCCATTCATCTATTGAAGGGCACCTAGGTTGGTTCCACAGTTTAGCTATTGTGAATCGTGCTGCTATAAAAATTGATGTGGCTGTGTCCCTATAGTATGCTGTTTTTCAGTCCTTTGGGTGTAGACTGAAGAGAGGGATAGTTGTGTCAAATGGTGGTTCCATTCCCAATTTTCCAAGAAATCTCCATACTGCTTTCCATATTGGCTGCACCAATTTGCAGTCCCACCAGCAGTGTATGAGTCTACCTTTTTCCCCACATCCTCGCCAACACTTATTGTTGTTTGTATGCATAAATAGCTGCCATTCTGACTGGAGTGAGATGAAATCTTAGAGTGGTTTTGATTTGCATTTCTCTAATTGCTAGTGATGATGAACATTTTTTCATGTATTTGTTGATTGATTATACATCATCTTCTGAGAAGTATCTCTTCAGGTCCTTGGCCCATTTATTGATTAAGTTATTTGGTTTTTTTGGTGCTTAGCTTTTTGAGTTCTTTATATACCCTAGTGATTAGTGCTGTATCTGATGTTTTGCTCCCAAGATATAGGTTCTCTATTCACCTCACCGATTGTTTCTTTTGCTAAGAAGAAGCTTTTTAGTTTGAGTCCATCCCATTTATTGATTCATGATTTTAATTCTTGTGCCACAGGAGTCTTATTAAGGAAATTGGGGCCTAATTCCACATGATGGAGATTAGGGCCTACTTTTTCTTCTATTAGATGCAGGGTTTCTGGTTTTATTTTGAGTTGAGTTTTGTGCATGGTGAGAGATAGGGGTTTAATCTCATTTTGTTGCATATGGATTTCCAGTTTTCCCAGAACCATTTGTTGAAGAGGCTATTTTTTTCTCCAATGCATGTTCTTGGTACCTTTGTCTAATATAAGATAATTGTAGTTTTGTGGGTTAGTCTCTGTGTCCTCTATTCTGTACCATTGGGAATCAACTTAACGAAAGAGGTGAAACATCTGTATAATGAAAATTACAGAACCCTAAAGAAAGAAATCAAAGAAAACCTTAGAAGATGGAAAGATCTTCCTTGCTCTTGGATAAGCAGAATTAATATTATCAAAATGACCATACTGCCAAAGCACTATACAGATTTAATGCAATTCCAATTCGAATTCCAGTGACATTTCTTATAGAAATAGAAAAAACAATCATGAAATTCATCTGGAAAAATAAGAAACCCAGAATAGCTAAAGCAATCCTTAGCAGGTAGAGTGAAGCAGGTGACATCACTGTACCAGACTTTAAACTACACTGCAGAGCACTAGTAACAAAAACAGCATGATATTGGCACCAAAACAGACTTTTAGACCAATGGTACAGAATAGAGGACACAGAGACTAACCCACAAAACTACACTTACATTAGACAAAGGTGCCAAGAATATGCATTGGAGAAAAGTTGGCCTCTGCATTCTTTTTATCTATGTAGAACATTAATACATTAATGGTTTTGGAGTCGCTAAGAGGGTGACTGTTTTTGGTTTTGTTTTGGTTGTTTGGTTTAGTGCTTTATACTATAGTTTCTACCGGCCCTTCTTGCTGGGTTCCTGGTCCCCTGGCTGCACTGAAGTGTGCAGTGTGCAAAGGCCTCTCTGGTGCCCTGCCACTTTTTCTACTTAACTGTTTTATTTTTTTTTCCTGGTTTTCTTTTATAGCCTCTATCCTAGCACAGACATTGGCTTTATTCTTCTTGCTTCTCAGTTTTTCCACCTTATTCTTCACTTGATCATAGCCAGAAAGCTGAGAAGTGATTGCCTAATTCATACATCCGGTTACATTTCCAGTTGCAGATTTGAGTTACATTGTGGTAAAGACTATGACAGATGGCTCGATTTTATAAAACTTTCCAAGGACTCAGTAGAATTGAGCCTGTGGATGGAGGTTCTTTACTCAAGCCTTCCTTCTGACACTCCCTCCCTCCATCCTTGCTTCTCTCAGCTGAGAGTGTTCTGGCCTCACTTTCAATTTGGGCAAGAGATAACATCTGTAATCTTTGTCATGTCTTCTGCTTTATCACATTAAAATTATCTATTATCCTGTGAATTTTAATTAATCTTCCCTTTTTAAAAATACAAATGTCCAAGATCCAGGGGGAATTATTTAGGATTGAGGGATTATTTTGTCTATCTGTAATGGACCTTTTAAATAAATAGTATTTATTGCCTTTATCTCAATTCAAAAGTAATTTGCATTCTTTGTAGAAAATGAGAATTCTGAAAAGTAAAAGAAAGGAAATCAAAATCACTTTATTCTAACACCTAGAGATGACTGAGATGTTGGTGTATCTTTCCTGTTTCCATTCAACTTTATATAATCAATTCAGTACATATTAATTTATATACACATATTCGTATTTATATATTCATTATTTTAAATATATTTTAGGTGTAGATGGACACAATACCTTTATTTTACTTGTTTTTTTTATTTTTATGTGGTGCCAGGGATAGAACCCAGTGCCTCACACATGCTAGGCAAGCACTCTACCACTGAGCCACAACCCCAGCCCCTATATATATTCATTTTGATAATTAAAATTAACTGAATTAATTAAGGAGCATTTATAGCTTGCATAAAAACTATAATTCATGTCATTGCTGTATTGGGATATTCTAGTAAATTTTTTAGTACAAGTTTGACAAAATGAGACCACTAAATAGATAATTTCTCATGATAAAACCTATATGCACACATCACAAAAATGTTACTGTTAGAAAAATACATTCTGAAAACTTTGTCCTTCAGTTACCCCATTCCCACTTTATATGTGTAAGTGGTTATTTTCTAAAAATTACTGATGATTAGATTAGTGAAATGTTTATTGTGAAAGAGTATGTTCTTTGCTTTTAGGCTTAATCAAATACACAGTGAAATAGAATGTGTTTTGTGAAGTAATATCTCAGTTTTTTTCTCCACGCTTTAGGTATGTGTTCTTTTTGGATCCATGCAATCTGGACTTGATAAACCGGAAGATTAAGTCTGTAGCACTGTGTGTAGCAGCATGTCCAAGACAAGAATTGAAAACCTTGAGTGATGTCCAGAAGTTTGCAGAGACGAATGGTGAGATTTTAGGCCATCTACATCTACACTCCAATCCTTTATCTCACTGTTAAATATTATGTCTTTACATTCCCATATGAATTTGTCCTGACATTAAATAAGTGATCAAAGAACCTTAAAAATAAAAAGAATTGAAGTAATTTTGGATTTCCTCATTAAAAAATATTAGAGTCAACCTAGGGAGCTTATTAAAACTCTAGATATTCACCATACTCCGTGGTATGTACCTATAGTCCCAGCTATCAGGATGCTGAGGCAGGAGGTTCCAGGTTGTTTGAGCAACATAATAAGATTCCATCTCAAAAAGTAAAAAAGCAAAAACTGACCACACCATAGATTATTTCACACCTTTACTCAAAAAACAAGACAAAACTCTTATTAGATTCCTAGGCCCCTGCTGGGGAACTTCTGAGTAGGTCTTTGGGTTCTGGAAATTTGTGTTTTTTATAAATGCTTCAGGTGATTTTGATATATAGCCTGATGAGTATTTGGAAATTATTAGACTACTCTGTAAAATTTGGATATTTTCCTTTCTTGACAAGTGTTGATTAAAAGTATTTCAGTTTGGGCCTGTGTGTGTGTGTTTTAGCCTGTGATTAACAGGGTAATATGAAAAGGAAAATTTGAAAATTTCAGATAAAAGTATAAAGTAAAAATCAAAAGTCTTCCATCAGTTCTTTTTTCAATGTGTTAGTGTACATATAACTTTGTGTTCTGCTTTTTAAATTTAACATTATGTCATGACTGTTTCTGTAAGAATAGGTTTGAGGAACTTTGAGGTTAAATGTATGGGAATTAGCTGAGAAAACCAGAAGAGACAGTTTTATGTAATCTAGCTCTGTTCCCTTGAGATTCGTATCTTCAAATATGTTATCCTCAGCTCCAAATAGCTTGTTTCAGTTATCTTCAGAGAATTTTTGTTTAAACCACTTTGGAGGGTTAGGGTGCTGATGGCCCCTCAAGCCCAGGTTTTTGAACTTCCTTGAGTTTCATGATTGTGTTTTGTATTTAGTACTCCTCAGGCCTTCCCAAATTCAAGGCTGTTTTTGGTTCCTTGGATAGCAGCTGACTTGATTTGTATTCACCCAGTGTAACTCTAGATGGGTGGAGATACAGCCTGGGGCTATAGCTATGCACACATCAGCAAGACTCCTGCATCTCTTAGATGGGGTGGGATAGGATTGCTGGCCTTCTGGAGCTGCAGGACTGGCAACATTCCTGGGCTACCACTTCATGCCCTAGGCATAAGATGGTAGAAAGGGCATGCTGTTGATTTGAATCTGGATTCCAATTCTGATTCAGTCACTAATTGGCTCTGTAATGAGTGGTAGCTTCTCTGAATCTAGATTTCCTAATCTGAAAAAAAGGTGAATTAAAAATAATACCTCCGTGCTGGGGTTGTGGCTCAGTGGTAGAGCCTTGTCTTGCATTCATGAGGCATTGGGTTCAAGCCTCGGCACACATAAATAAATAAAATAAAAAGTATTTTTCCCATCTACAACTAAAATAAAGAAGTATTTTAAAAAATAATACCTCATAGGTTATGAAGATTAAATAAGATGGTGCATGAATAATACTGGGCATGTGATAGGCAGTGAGTGAAGAGGTGCCAAATACTGTTTAAGATCTCATTTTTAATCCCCACATGATATCCCCACATTTGCCTTGCTAAGCCTTTTTTCCAAACCTACCAGCTTTATCATTATCAGGTTTCTTAGGGAAGTCTGAGTTATTCCTGAAGGGTTTTTCCAAACTCTTACACATTATGAGTAGATCAATATACCTGATAGGTGGTATTTTTTTTTAATATTTATTTTTACTTGTAGTTGGACACAATACCTTTTTTATTTATTTATTTTTATGTGGTGCTGAGGATTGAACCCAGGGCCTCCTCGCACATGCTAAGCGAGCACTCTACCGCTGAACCACCACCCCAGCCCTGAGAGGTGGTATATTAAGAGTATGGCCTCTGAAGTCAGATGTTTGGGTTCAACTGTTGGTCCTTCTGCTTAGTAATTGTGAGACTCTGGGCAAGTTGGCTTTACCTTTCTATATCTCAGTTTCCCCATCTGTGATGCAGGGATAATGTATATACCTAATGTGCCTCATTAGGATCTTTATAGTAAGTCAATATATGGAGAAAGAATACTTATAACAATGTATGGAAAATAGCAAGTTGCTAAAAAATGGTCTTGGCTGCTGGTGTTGCCATTATTCTTCTGCCTCCAATTTTTGTCTAGTTCTAACTCCTTTACGTATTGCTCTCATGCGATGTTGCTAGAGTTTTAATTAACACCAACCCATTGCTCAGAAATTATCAGTGGTGAAAAACAAAAGTCTCTATATGTCTTATACTGGCAATCAAAACTCTGATATAATCATAAACTTGTCCGCTTTGAACATGCCCTCTCAAACCTACTGGATGTAAGCCTTGGCATCTTGAAACTTAGCTGTCATCTGAAGGGCCAGGCAAGAGCTACCTCTAGCTCAGTTATATGGCCTTGCTTGATGGTTCCTTTAGGAGAGATGACCCATGCCTTCCTGTTGGCCTGTGTTGCCCGCAGGCCAGTGTCCTCCCAAATGAAACTGATACCGAGTGTGGTCTATTTAGGTCTAGTTTAAGAAGATGCTCCTGGTGTGTTTTGCAGCTTTGCGTTTCCCACAGTGTTTTGCATAAAGTAAGTGTTCAAGAAGTTTTAATCAATAAACACTCTTTCAGAAAACAGACTTCTTAAATCAGTGCCCAGCTACAAAAGCACCCTTAGGCTTTGGAGTTGCTGTGTATAAAATAAACCAGTAAGTTCAGTATAAAAAAATAATGACACAAGAAGCACATAGTAGAGGATGGTAACTTCAAAAGGCAAGTAGAAAAGCTGTATAGTTCAAATGGAAAGGGAGCTTCTGGTGTGGAGGCCTGCCTATCTTATTTTAGGAAAAAATCCAAGTTGGAATTTCTGAATTAATTTTTCAAAGAATCTCTGCTGTTTCTTTGGATTGGTGACTTAAAATTGGACCTGGTAAAATTTAGTTGCAATATTACCTTTATCACTGAGAGATTTCTTTCTCTGCTTTTTACATTAACTATGCTCCCCTCCTCTGATCTTTATAACTTATCTTTTCCATTATTTGAAGTACAAGTTGATTGAAAAGGAACAGGTAATTTTTATTGGTATCTATAGCCAAGGTTCTAACAGAAATAGTTAGAAAATACAGAGGCCTTTTTATCTAAAATATTTAAGGCTCAATTATTAATTTCAGAGGAGTGTCTTTGAGGGATGATTCAGGTTTAAGTGGGAAATTTTCAAATCTGTAAAGTAAACTAGTTAAAAGTCCATGAAAGAGCCTAAATATAAGAGCTACAGCTGTAAAACTCTTAGAAGCATCATAGGGGAAAACTTATATGGTATTGGATTTCATCATTACTTGCATGGAACTAAATGATACCAGAAGTACAGGAAGCAAAGGAAAAATTAGAAAAATTGTCATGTCAAAATTAAAAACTTAAACGTATTAAAGGACAAAATCAACAGTGAAAAGTCAACCCATATATTTGGGTTGAGAGAAAATATTTGGAATGAGAGAAAATATTTGCAAATAATATATCTATTAAGGAGTTACGAAAGAAAAAGAAGTGTTGATGAGGCTATAGCAAAATTAGAAATCTTGTGCACAGTTGGTGGTAATGAAAATGGTGTAGCAACTATGGTAAACAGTATAGAAGTTCTTTAAAAAGTTAAAAATAGGACTAATATGATCCAGTAGTCCCACTTCTGAGTGTATATACAGAAGAATAAAAAAGAGGATCCTCAAGAAATATGTGCACATGTATGTTCATTGCAATATTATTCAAAAACAGCCAAGAGGTAGAAGCAGCCTAAATGTCCATGGACAGATTAATAAAGAAAATGTGATATACACACACAATTAAATATTATTTTGCCTTAAAAATGCTGCAACATGGATGAAACTTAAAGATACTATGCTAAGGGAAATAAGCCATTCACAAAAGGACAAGTACTATAGGATTCCACAGTTATGAGGGCCCTAGAATAGCCAAATTCATAGAGACAGAAAGTAGGATAGCAGTTGCCAGGAGCTATGGGGGATGGGGGGGTAGAAGGAAGTCACTGTGTATTGGGTTGAGTTATACAACAATGTGAATGTATACAATGTACTAAATTGTACAATTGCAAATGGTTAAGACAGCAAATTTTATGTTATGTGTATTTTACCATAATTTAACAAAAATGGATACTGGGTGAGGTAGTAACTTTTTATATGCTAATTCTAAACCTGATTTTAAAATGCAAGGTAAAATAATATGTTTCTTTCTTATCACAATGAAAATACAACATAAATCCTTTTCAAAGAATTTCAAGTTTCCATGACAACATTTCAGAGTACTTTTTAGCACTTACCAACATCCATTCACATGAACTTTTATTATCTTTAGAAATTATTGAAAATTTTATAAGGGGAAGCTGTTGGGTCCTATAGCAATATTTAAAAGAAATACATTTGTTAGGCAAGTAAAACGTTCCCTCAAATCTTCGTTTCTTTGACAAGAAAGTGGAGTTGTTTCTTGGATAGAGTTTATGGGAAAGCCTTTGTCAAGTATGTCTGACTACAATAGAGTTCAGAAGAAAAAGCTGGAAATTAGATTAGTTTTGTGGAGATGTTGCCTTCTACAAAGAGCTTTGAAAGCGGGCAGGAGAACTTAGATGAATATAAAGATACAGTCTAGACTGAGTTGGGTGGTAGGTCAACAAGTATACATTTTGGTTTTATGGTTTGTAATTCATATATGACATGAATAACATAAACTTGATGCTGGAAAAGAAAATAATTTTAAAAATGTTCATTAAAAGGGGGGATAGGAAGGGCAGCAGAATACAACAGACACTAGTATGGCTGTATGTATAAACGTGGCTGTATAACCAATGTGATCCTGCAATTTGTACACGTGGAAAAATAAGAATTCATACCCCATTTGAATCAAA